GGCCTCAGAGCTATATGCCTATATCCAGCAGAACCACCATGCCTACGACGCGCGCGTTAAGTTCATCCGTCTACTCCACCAAGGGTTTGTCGAACATGTCTATCCGCCGTCGTCGCCAGGTTCCCGCGGCAAACCTCAGGAGTACGATTTTCTCCAGGACCTGCGTGCTGCACGAGAAGAGCTCGATGGCCTCTTCGCGATTGGGGAGGATCTATGGGTTGAATGGATACAGGACGAAAGTGTGCTGGCACGTACGGTGGAGGAACAGATAGGTGTAATGGAACTGTGTCGACGGTCAGTAGATGAAGAGTACGGCAGCACGAAACTATGGATAATATATGGCGAGTGGATGCTGCATCTCTACAACTCTGTTTCCCAGCCAAATGACGCCTCCGTCTCCCGCCAATGGTCAGAGGAAGATAGAATGGTGGCTCGGGAGGCATTTACGTGGCAGTCAGTCGTAGAGGTCTGGATGAATGCGGCGGAGGCTACAAACTGGAGAATAAATGATAGTCACCTGGTCTGGGACCGCTATCTGGAACTCGTCGTACAAGATGTGGGCAAGCAGCCGTCTCCAGAGAAACTCGGCCACGTAAGGGATTTGTTCGTCAATAGGCTTCAGGTACCCCACATGACCTGGGATAACACCTTCCAACTATTTTCCAACTTCATCTCTACCTATTATAACAACTATTACGAAGAGACCATGGTGGATATGACGAATAGAGCCGCCCGCGCCAAAGCCTTGTGGAATGCTCGCGAGATGCGAGAAGTGGAACTTCGGCGGGCCGCGGAGGCTGGAGACAGTACTACGGAATTGAGCTTGTTCGTGTCGTACCTTGAGTGGGAACTGAGCCAGAACCGGCGAAAGGGCCATTTTAGCTTCGAGCTCGTGTGCGCTCTCTATCAACGTGCCGTGCTACGTTTCCCCATCGAGGTTCGTTTATGGGAAGACTATATAATGTTCATAGTAGAGGAATCAATGGACGGAAGCCCGCATGGCCACTACCTCCCTGCTCTCCCTTCCCTGGAGCGCGCCACTCGGCACTGTCCATGGTCCGGAACGCTCTGGTCGCAACACATTCTCAGCGCGGAGCGTGTGGGACGCTCGTTTACTCAAATCGCTGACATCAAGCACAAGGCGACGCGGACTGGTCTGTTGGACGCCGGAGGCATCAAGCAAGTGATCAAGGTGCACACCACATGGTGCAGCTACCTGCGTCGACGAGCTTTCCAACCTGACTCGACAGATGAGGATCTTGATGTGGCCGAGGTAGGCATCCGCTCTGCAATCGAAAGCATCCAGGAACTAGGCGAGAAAGACAATACCACAGTTCCCAATGACCCCCTCTTCCGCCTCGAGCGTATCTACATCCGGTATCTAAGTGAAAGTGGAAGCTGGGATAGTGCCCGAGAAACCTTCAAGGGCTTAATCGCCCGCCACGGACACAGCTACGAGTTCTGGATTATGTATTATACATGGGAACTGCTCTGCTGGAGCAAATTCACCCAGTCAGATGGCAGCGCAAGCGCCTCGCGGAGAACCCCGAACCCCAGCCTTGCTACTGCAGTATTAAAACAAGCTCTCCAACGAGCGGACGCGGACTGGCTGGACAAGATCAGGTTGACATACATTGACCACTGCGAACACTACGAGGATGCGGACGAGCTCCAGATAGCCGTTATAGAGATTCGAAAGGCGATGAAAGCCCGAACGAGAAGACAGGATAAGGAAGCTCTACAGGCGGCAGCTCAACAATCGGCAGCAGCAGCGGCAACCACTACTGCTCCTCAAGCTGAAACGCCAGGAGTGTCGTCGGCAACCAGAGTAAGACCTGAAGCCGAGAATGAGACGACACCCCAGGGAAGCAAGCGAAAACGCACAGTTGAGGAACTGGATGTGAATGGGTCTGCCAGCAAAAGGCCCAGAGCGGCGGATCTCGGTGCTGATGCCGGCACTCCCCCTCCAAAAAGGGATCGCGAGAATGCTACTGTCATTGTGGAGAACTTACCGTCAGACGTTACCGAGTTGAGAGTCAGGCAGTTCTTTAGGGATGTAAGTTTGTAGCTCCCCCGTTTTATTTATTTGCTTTGTTGGATCGAACAAACAAGAAAAAAGGGGTCTTGTACTGACTGTTTCAACTAGTGCGGTAAAATCAATTCTTTAAAGCTGCTGTCACGACAAGGAACTCAACCCAGTGCAACTGTCGAGTTCGACACGCGAGAGGATGCATTGGCCGCACAGACGCGAGATCAACGGACATTCGAAGATCAAACGATCTCCGTTCACATCGGAACGAATACAACGCTGTTCGTCACGAATTTCCCGCCCACAGCTGATGAAGCGTATGTTCGCGATCTTTTCACTCCGGTAAACGATTCATCTTTACCTTGACCTTGGCTTTTTATATTTTTACTATCCCCCAGTTCTCTTTTAACAAATGGAAACTAATCGTTTATTTTTATAGTACGGCGAAGTCGTTGATATCCGATTCCCGTCGCTTAAATACAACACGCACAGACGCTTTTGTTACGTCCAATTCCAAACGGCCAGTGCTGCTCATGCAGCGACAGAGTTGAACGGAACTCAACAGGAAGTCTCCGGGAACTCGATGGTTTCGGCGGAGTCGACGAAGCTACCCCTCGTCGTGAAGATATCGGACCCTACGAAACGGCAGGATAGGACAGGGCCGATGGAGGAGGGTCGCGAAATCCACGTCTCGAATCTCGACTGGAAGGCGACGGAAGATGACTTGGTGGAGTTATTTACGGCGTATGGAGAAGTTGAGGGGGCGCGAATTCCGAGGAAGGCTAATGGGGCGAGCAAGGGGTTTGGATTTGTGGTTTTTAGGACGAAGGTATGTTTGGGTCTCTTTGTCTTCTTCTATGGTAAAAACCAGCGCAGGACGAATTTTAACACATCTGCTAGAAATCCGCCGAAGCTGCCCTCGCTATGCACGAGCAGCTATTCCGCTCTCGCCCACTCAACGTCCACATTTCTACTCCCACCCCCGCGAAACGCCAAGCAACAGCGATTATATCCCGCGTCGGCGGCCGCTCCGAGTCTCCTTCCATGGAACCTAACGGCGCCTCGCCTTCCTCCTCAACAGTACCACACGCCCCCGACCAACCCACGGGAAATGCCAGCGACAAACACCTCCGCACCCTCGCCCTGATGAACATCCCAGACACCATCAACGACACTCGCATCCGCACCCTCGTCTCCCCTTACGGTGCACTCGTGAAACTGATCCTCCGCCCAGACCACCAAGGCGCCATCGTCGAGTTTGTCGACGTCAGCGACGCTGGCCGTGCATCGCTAGGCTTAGACGGGTATGAGATCGCTCCCGGGCGACAAATCCGCGTCGGTAGTGTGGGCGAGATGTTGAAGATGCCGGCGGAGAGGAAGGTGGATAGAATTCTTGTGGGCAAGGAGCGGGAGCGGGTGGAGAAGAAGGGGAAGAAAGGAGAGAGGGATACGGTTGCAGTTCCTGCGTCCGGGCCGGCTGGGAAGAAAAAGATGGTTATGATGAAGCAGCCCGCTGCGCCTATTCGGCGACCGGGCCAGCCTGGAGGTGGAGTAGGATCGGGGCGGAGGGGTGGGTTGGGTGTTAAAAGGGGTGGTGGTGCTGTTGGTACTGCTGCTACTGCTGCTGCGACAGGTCAACAGCCTGCGCCCGCGAAGAAAAGCAATGATGATTTTCGGGCTCTGTTGGAGTCGTCCAAGTCACGGGAGCATGGCCAGGAACAACAGCAAGGACAATAACGAGAGTACAGCATCCATGAAACCGGGGAAGAAGGGTGTAAGTAGGGCAAAAAAAAAAAAAAAAAAAAAAAAAAGGAAATGCCCCCTCAAAAATGAGAGAATAGATCACCATACGTGATTGTATCTGCAACCTTTTTTAAACCCCTTGCCCGTCGCCTCTCTTCGTTTCCCCCCTCACACCGCCCTTTTATTGCATGATCTATATTTTATTTCCTTTTCCTTTTAAGTTTTATATTTGCCATATGTTTTTCTATCTCCATCTCCATCTGCATCTTCCACACCTCACTCAACTAACCCTCTAATGCCCACCATCAAATGCCCCAATGTCAAATGCCAAATGCCAAATGCCAACGCCCAAACACCAAAACAAAAAATGGCCCCCATAATTGTATGTACGTGTATGCATGATATGTCTTTTATTACAAAAAAATTCTGTTCTCAACTTGTCTTTGTTGCTCCCTCTCTCTTAATTTTTTTTTTTTTTTTTTTGTTTTTTTTCTTCCAAATCTAATCTAATTTAATCATTTTATACACTTTGCACCATCCATGCGGATCATTTCTTGCATTCTCTGCTCATTTTGTACCTTGTTGATGACATTTTCTTTTCATTGAAAAAGATTTCTCCCTCCTCTTTAACTTCTATCCTCGTTTCTCCTTGTCTCTACTTTTGCTTCTACCTCTACCTCTACCGCTATCTCTTCCCTCTCACATAATCTCTACATATCATTCCCGCATCCATGCCTTGCATATTTTTGTGGCCTTCTTGTCATGTTACATAATTCTTTGCTGCTTGGATTATACCATCTATTCATTCATATATTTATCCCCCGTCCCTGCCATGTCAGTTCGCTTCATTTTCATTTGATGAGGAAGAGAGAGTTGAGGGCGATGAAATGAAAATGAAAATGAAAATGAACATGGAAATCAGATGAAAAAGAGTATATATATATATAATACAATAATATTCTCTAAACAAGTATTTCTATTCTTGAGTTTCCATGTTTATGATCATTCCGGGAAGTAGATTTCTGAAGATATATGCCAAGACTTGATACACGTGATAACGTCCATCGGCGAGTTCGGCGTTCAACTCCGGTCTGCATGCGGCATAGCGCGTCTTCTGCTTTTTACCGTCAACTTTCTCCGACTTGCTTGAATTTCACCGCAACGGAGGATGATAAACTAGCATATCCTCACCCTGAAACCGGTCAATTGAGAGCTACAGCTGGCAAAAATGGCCGCTGCTGCATGTGCTGCCTTTACCTCCCGGCAGCTGTCCCGTGCAGGTGAGCTTGAAACCCATCCAATTCCACTTTCAACCCGGGATTGGAATTGCTCACATGAAACTGACTGACACCATAATACAGCCGGGCCACGACTCCCAACATCCATATATCGACGAGCATTCGCCTCAAGCCCTTTCCTGCGGGCCCCCACAGCCGCCTCCAACACCTCCGCATCCTCATCGCAACCCTCCAAAACGAAAAACAAACACCTGAAAGTCTCCCAGCCCGCCGCCTCAGCAATAACCCACGGCTCCCTCGTCCCGGGCTCCATCTTCGATGAAGACGAGGGAGTAATGCCCAGCCCCTACGCAAGCACAGATGGCCGCAAACCCCAACGCCTCACATCTAAAGACACGGATGCGGATGCAACAAACGCCGTAGCCGGTAGGCCCAAAGTCCCCCTCCACGAGCGGGACCAAGACAATCTCTTCCGTGCGCTCGTCCCATTCCCTAACCGCCGCGCCCGCTGGGAGAGGAAGATGGTAATACGCTCGATACGGCGACGGGGCCGACTAACGCGGCAAGAAGAAATCGCACGCACAGAGCGCGAGTCGCTCAGCAAGAGCCACTTCTTCAAGACCAGCGTCAAGAAGCTGATGATGGTTGCGCGGCAGATTGCGGGGAAGAACATCGACGACGCCATCTTGCAGATGCGCTATAGCCCCAAGAAGGTGGCCAAGGACGTCAAGTTGCATCTGGAGCTGGCAAGGGATGAGGCCATCGTGCTGCACGGGATGGGACTTGGGAGGAGTCAGAGTCAGAAGGATACCACTGTAGCCAGTGCGGATGCGGACGCGGAAGGGGAAACAGGAGCGGCGGGAACTAACACCACCACCACCACCACCGCCGCCGCCGCCGCCGCCGCCGCCACGAGCCCGATTACCATAAGGCTCAAAACCGGCCAGCGCAAGACCATCACCGACCGCACGGCGATCTACATCGCGCAGGCGTGGGTGGGCCGCGGCACGTTCGGGCGCGAGCTGGACTACCGCGCGCGCGGCAACGTCAACATCATGAGGCCGCCGTATACGAGCCTGACGGTTGTGCTGAAGGAGGAGAATACGCGGATTCGCGAGTGGGAGGAGCGCCACGCGAAGGAGGAGAGGAAGCGCAGGTCGCAGTTGAGGGTTGCATTGCCGGATCGGAAGGTTTATGGGCAGAGGCAGTATTATAGTTGGTAGTGTTTTGGGGGGGAGGGTGTATTTATTTATGTATGATAGGGAAGATGGATTTGTGTGGAATTTGGTTTTTCCCTTTTATTTTTTTATTTTATTTTTTTATTTTATGTTGTTGGTATGATTGTGTTAATATATACAGTATCCGGTTCTTTTTCTCTCTTGTTCTTTTTTTTGCTTAAATTTTTGCAGGTACTTGTACTGTACATGGCTACTAACTAGAGGATAAACCATAACTAACTTTTTCCCCAAAGGGCCAAATCTGATTATCATCCCGTTCTCTCTACTCTCAACTGCAAAGCCACTTCGTTGGTCCTGGTTATTATCCTGACTTTCCAACTTTCCCAAGTTCTTCACAACCTCGTATTCGATGAACCCAAATGCAGCCAGTCTCATAGCGCGGGGATGAAGGTAGTTGAGTCCGACTAGGAAGTGGGTTGTTCTACTTCATCCTCCACGTCAAGGGTTCGACCATATCGAGTCATTCTGTTTGGCGCCTACAAGATCTTTGTTTGATGACAATGTTATTTCGTGAAATAACAATTATCTCCTATACACCAGAAACGAGGCGTTTTTGTCAAATCCAGTCAGGCCCGGGCTCCTGTCTCCAACATCGTTGAATAAACACACTGCAACCTGTCCATCAAAAATAATATACCCATCCCCCTTGACTAAGAAAGCAAAGGGAACTCCAAAAAACCAAGACAAGATGAAGGCCCTCGTCCTCATCGACCTACAAAATGAATTCCTCGATGCGGAGAAAGGCCGCTATGTCATCCCCGACTCGTCCAAGATACCCCTCCTAGAGAACATCAGGAGACTTCTGCCTGCATTTCGCTCCCATGAATGCATAAAAGGTATGGTGTGGGAGGGCGAAAGTCAAGCACAATCTGATAATCTGGTCATATGGGTGCGCGCTGAATACTCGGGCCCGAATGAAACGAGCCCTGCCCTCGACGCTGCTTCCTCGTCCTCGGACCGGGGACATCAAGATGGAGATGGAGATGAAGATGATAACCTCCCCATCCGACCCGTTACTGCTACTAGAAGCGCCCATGAAAACTCCCATTTCCTTACTGGCACACACGCCGGAAAGACACCCTGCTGTCCGCCAGGTTCGGAGGCCGCGCAGTTCTACCCGGCCATCACCCCGCTGATAGACACCGACAGAGACCTCATCCTAACAAAGACCTGGTTCTCCGCGTTTAAAGAAACAGGGTTAGCGGAGATCCTGCGATCCCGGGCTATCAACGAGGTGTACTTCGCCGGCCTACTCTCGAACGTCTGCGTCCTTGCCAGCGTCACAGACAGCATCAGACTCGGTGCCACGCACTGGAAAACGCACGTCGTCGTCGACTGCCTGGGTTATCTACGAGAGAAAAGCCACGTCGCCGCCCTTGCCAAATTATCTGCCATCACCTTCACCCTCACAACCCCTAATGAGCCAGACGCAGCAGCGCCAGCGGTACCCGCGCCGTTAATCACCAGCACGCATTTCCACCCGCATCCAACCTTCTACTACGTCAACGGCAGCATCCCCTCCTGGCGCGTGCAGATAGCCCTACACCATAAACAGCTCCGAACAAACGACGTCCGCATGTACGTCATGCGCACGCCCAAACCGACGCGCTCGCCGGCGTTTCTCGCCATAAACCCGCGCGGCAAGGCGCCTGTGTTCGTCGACACGGACCCCGCACGCACGCGCACGTGTGAATCGTTGGCGATTCTGCTGTATCTTGAAGAATACTACCCCGGTACTGCGCTTGCTACTTCTGCGGGTTGTTATAATAATGACAATCCATCCCCATCCCCATCGGCACCGCCGCTCCTGCCCCCGCGCGACCACCGCCAGAAACGAGCGCGCGTCCTCTGTCTCATGCAGGAATCCGAGAATCTACACTCGGCCTACGACGCGCTGGAAGATGCATACTGGGCCGACAAAAAGACCGAGCAGGCCGACGGCCCCTCCTCGCCCTCACTAGCCACAAGGCCAATAGTGCCCTCAGCCTCCGCAAAATTTCGAAGACTTCATAATCAACCAGCGTCCTCTACTCATCCAAGCCATCCACGCCGAACTGGCGCTCTGGGAGACGCCATATCGCCGCCCGCGCACGCGGCGGGGACGAGATTCCTGGCTGGCACGCACACGCTGTCACTGGCTGATTGTGCGCTCTACCCGATCCTGGCGTACATGGTGCATCGCGGTTTTGTGTTTACGGAGCGGTTTGAGGGGCTTGAGAGGTATTATGGGGATATGACCAGGTTGGAGTGTGTGCAGCGGGCGAGGCCTGAGGGATGGGGGGATGGGAGGGGGAGGGGGAAGACGGATGTTTTTGGGGGGAGGTGAGGGGTTAGTTTCGTATAGTGTTTTCGCTGTATTCCATCATTGAACAATATTCTTTTGGTTATTTAATATAAAAAAGTATAATAAGCAATATATCCTTTTCGTGAACGAGAAATGAAGCAACGTCAACTTTCCAGCAACATTACAACAATCATCGACCAGAACATACGCCCGCGTGGCTTAGTGGTAAAGCGTATCACTAGTAATGATAAGATCCTCGGTTCGATTCCGAGTGTGGGCAGATTCAAGTATCTTCTATTTCTTTTTAGCGGCCGTTTATTTTATTTTTCATGTTTTGGTTTCCTGGTGTGAATTTGGGAGCAAAGGCCGGGACAATTATGGCCTCCGTCGTTGTTGTTGTTGTTGGGGGACTTGGCGGGAACAGAGGGTTAAATAAAAAACATTAAGCCCTAACCCTAAAAGACAGCCCGGGCGCTGTTTATTTATTTCTGAATATAAGATATTATTTTTCCGGCACAGGGCGAATAGTAGGCGAGTCAAATATCGAGATTTGCGGATATTTTTAACGCTGGCTTCAACTTTCACATCTAATGGCTCATGAATATCATCATACTTGAAATACTGTACGAGGAAGCCGAGTCAGGACATAGCCATAGAGCTCTATTTGTGGTCGTATTGATACATACAAAAAACTAGAGGTTATACGGGGGGGGTCCTTGGTGGCGTGATAAATATCATGTCTTTTTTGCCGTATATCTATCCACGAGCGCTGGGTCCCGGGAAAGGTGCCTTTCGTCTAGAACCATGACCTGGGATAGGGGCGGATGGGGTTTGCTAAAGAATAAGGTTACGGAGGAAAACCGAGTTTCTCACGGGCGTCTGCGTAAAGGATGAAAGGTTTTTCATCCCTTGAGCGGGTAGCTAGCAAGACTAGAATTCATGAAAGGAAAGTTCTAGTGTCAGTTTTCAAACTCCTTTTTCTTCGGAACATATGGAATATACCAAGGCCGAACGGCCGTCTCAGGCAGTCATTGATTGAATATGTTTTCGATTATGAAGGGCTATAGATGGCGACTGGGCTATAGAGAGCTCGATAGAATGGTAATATCGAGCTCGAAAATGTTGAGAGCTAAGATAAACCGAAAACAGCTTCATCTGCCATGCTCGATGTGAAAACGTTCAGGTCTATGTGAATTAATTAATAGAGGTCAAAATTCTGATATCGCCAGTACTGGATGGGATGTAGCCTCATTAGTAAACGATATCTAGTTAACTAACTATCCAAGATTCAAATCAAAGAAAATTCCGGAAAGGATAGCTGCTGCTACGGGGAGAGAGATCAAATTGAATATAGATAGCATAACAGGCACGAGAAATAGCTATGAATTCGTAAATAGCTATATAGCCCATCATAAATCTTTCCCTTGACTGACGATATAAACTGGCTTGTCGCAGATTGGTGGTATAAAGGGAAAAGATCTAGAGAGAAGAATATTAAAACCACCAATAACATAGATTCTGCTGCTGCAAATGATAGTTAACAATTATGATCCCACTGTGGAATCCAAACAATATATGAACCCGATTTGGTGGCTTAATCCAATAAACCGACGGGAAGAAAAATAAAGTAGGAAACAAAAAAAATGTGATTAAACAGGGATATGGGGAAATGAAAGAGAATAACCCCAAATAAACCAAGACCAAGCGCAGAAGCACAATTAACATCGCTAACCATATAAATAAAACAGTCCCACCCATATAGTGCAACAAACGGCCTCACCGCAAACATGTGTGGGGTGGTAATTGTAGATAAAGAAAATTGGAAACAAGAGAGACAAACGGTTTTAGAACAACGGGTGAAAAAAAATAAAGCAATCCGATAGACAAGACAAAATGACCATCCTTCCCCACCCACACTACACCAGGTTAATAATGAACAAAGACTTTGGAAAAAGAATGAATGACGCAAAGGGCTAGCACTAGCAGAGAAGAAACACATTCCCGATATGTGAACGAACGAGTCGAAAGACATAATAGTAAATAGGTAAAAAAGTAAAATAAAAATAGTTAAGTTAACCGCCAACAATAATAAAGGAACCATAATACAAAAATAACTAAAACAAAGTAAGAATGAGAAAGGAAAATAAAACACAACCAAAACATCTCATCTCGCAGTTGACTTTGATATACCCCCCTTCTCTCACAACGTCGTACTATAGACAAGGAAATGCACTCCACACGACCTACAATATTCGAAAAATTAAGACTTGTTTATTTTTCTCTTCGTCGTCTTCTTAACCGCGCCGTGATCGGAAACCCTCAAGGCACGACAGGTCGGATTGATAAGACAAGCCGCGCGGCCAATAGCATACTTGAGGGACTGGTTACTTGCATCATTGTCGCTGGCCTCAGAGCTCATGGCGGCGGAGTCGGGGCCTGCGGGAGATCTGATGCTGGGGTCAGTAGCGCGCCGGACTCTGGTTATGGTGGGGCTTGTGTCGGCTTGTGGGGTGGGAGGTGCAGTTTGCGTGGAGCGCGTAGGACGGTGAAGGGTTTCACTGGCAGCGCTTCGCCTGGTGAGGCCTTGCGTGGGCCCAGATGGTGCAGATGTGATGAGCCCGGTTCTTGAAGTCGGTGAGTCAATTAATGGGAGGGGACGCCGAAGGGTAGGACGAGTATCACCACGGGTGCTGCAGCTGGG